CCCCCCCCACACACACATATATCCATGTAACCATTCAGTTTCCTCCTTGACTGAGTTTCTGAATGCTTACATTATTCTTTTTCTGAGGTGACATTTTCAACCTTAATTTCTGTTCCATTAACAAATATTCAGATTCAGACAGTAAATAGATTCCTGTAGTTTCAGTGCCAAAAGGGAATGGGGCTGCCTTTAGTAAACCAGAAAGCCTCCTTTGCAAAGTAGTGCAGATGTGTCTTCTCACATGCAATCCAGCATTTTCTGAATGCTTACATTATTCTTTTTCTGAGGTGACATTTTCAACCTTAATTTCTGTTCCATTAACAAATATTCAGATTCAGACAGTAAATAGATTCCTGTAGTTTCAGTGCCAAAAGGGAATGGGGCTGCCTTTAGTAAACCAGAAAGCCTCCTTTGCAAAGTAGTGCAGATGTGTCTTCTCACATGCAATCCAGCATTCACTAGGGACCATCCCTATAATATGGTTTAAATGTTGTCGTGCAACTGTGGGGCTTTTCATAAGACTAACCTTGCAGGGAGATGCCATACCCCAAAACCAAAGCTGCTAGGAAAGGCACATTTATGGAGAAGCAACCTCTGGAATGGAATCTGCATGCAATGCTTCCAAGCAATGGTGTATCTAGAGCAGTTTCCCAGGTCAGGACCCAAATATGGGTCACCATTACATTTCAAAAGGGTCACCAGGTGTCTCTTAAGGAGCCATTCACACATTTTTTTAATTGCCCTGGGTCACCAATTCTTCCTGAATTGTCAAAATAGGTCTCCACCTGGAAAAGGTTGGGAACCCTTTGATCTAGAGCAGTGGTCTCCAACCTTTTTACACCCAAGATCACTTTTTAAATCTCCGAACAGGCGAAGATCTACCACCCCGCCCCTTTCTTGAAGCCCCGCCCCTTTCTATTCTCCTCTTGTCCATCATTTGCTATCCCCAGCCCCTATTTACACACTCTAAACAGTTTATTTATAAATTATGCATGTATAAAATTAAAATTACGTGTTTATCGTTATGAAATAAATGGTCTGTTTTTTATTCATGCTATTTAAATCTAAAATGAAGCATTTATAATTATATATTTTGTGGGGACAGAGTTCTGCGGCTGGGGGCAGGGGAGAGGGAACAGGGTGCTGGGAGGGCAGAAGACAGGGTTCTGCAGCAGGGGACAGAGTGTGGGGACAGGTTTCTACAGCTGGGGACAGGGTGCCAGTGGGGACAGGAATAGGGACAGAGTTCTGTAGCTAGGAACAGGGGAGTGGGAACAGAATTCTGTGGTTGGCGACAGGAGAGTGGGGATAGAATTCTGTGGCTGGGGACAGGGAAGTGGGGACAGAGTTCGGGGAGTGGGGACAGAGTTCTGTGGCTGGGGAGTGGGGTGCCCGTGGAGGCAGAGAGTTCCCTGTATCTGCCTCTTCCCAGGATTCCCCTGCCCCCAGAGGGAAACCAGCGCGCGCCTCCCCCAGGGCCGACCGCCCCGGTACAGGGAAACCCCGCGCGCCTCCCCCGGGGCTGACTCACCCCTCCCGTGCGGTGCAGGGAGCCAATGCTCCCTCCCGCAGTACACCCGGCAGAGCAGTTAGCGCTACTTCCGGAATTGCCGGAAGTGGTGCTAAGCTGCAGCACTTCTGTCCATCCCCGGGAAGCCTACACTACATCCATTTTCACTGGAGGTAGGTAGTGGGGCTTCTCAGGGGCGGGAGGGAAATGGGGGCGGGGCAGACAGGACGCCTCGCGATCGACTGGTCAAGGCCTCGCGATCGACCTGTTGGTGACCATGGATCTAGAGCATTCACAAGGTGCCACAGCACTGCCCCCACAACAGAGTGGTGTAAGCAGTCACAGCAGCTGCAGAGTAGATACACAGATAAAACCAGTTAATTTAGCTAAGTATTTGGAACAGAATTACAGCCAGACATTCTCCATTTATCTAGGGATGTAAAGTCTCAAGAGTTAGACCAGGATGTACTCTACACCGGGACAGAGTCCCCTTAGAAACAAAAGCGATTGAAAGGAGCATTAACACCAGTGCTCGCTCTAGGTTTTTTTTGCGTCCATGTGCAGAATTCCATTTTGGTGTACATGACAAAATTCAATGTGTAACACATTTCCATATTGGTGCACATAATAAAATTCATTCTGCTCACAGACAATCCAGGGAGAGACTGGTACTGAAGGATTAGGTGTGGGAGGAGGCTCAGGGTGAAAGGGTGATGGGCTCTAGCCAGAGGTGCGGGCTCTGGGGTAGGGCTGAGGGATGAAGCATTTGGGGTGCATGAAGGTATTACCACAGCTGGGGGAAAGGTGCATTCCTCCAGCCCCAGTAGCTAGCTACTGTGGCCAGGGGAGAGGAACCTGTGGCAGCTCTGTGCACAACAGACCTGAGCCCCTCCATGGGGTTTATTAGGTAGCCAAGCAACTTTGAGGGAACCCCAATTAAAACCTCCTACCATCTCTGCATGCACCCCACAATACCCTATGAATCAGACAGCCTCCTACATCAAGTATTCCCTGTAAGATGAGTGGTTGGGCAGTGCCCCAGAAGAGACTCAGGTGCCATCCAGATGATTAGCAGGGGGCCCACAATTGACAGAATGCATTTCTACTGGTGCTGCAAATCTGCACATGCCTTGGTGAGCATACAAAATGTAATCTGCATATAGATGGAAAAAGTTAGAGGGAACATTGTCCCACAGGACCCCAAACTCATTAAGCAGTCGTTATAGTCCCCTCCAAATACACACATACTGCTTTTGATTAAAAACAATGCAACAACAAGTTCCTGCAGCAACTTAGAGACTAACAAAATATATAGTTTCATGAGCTTTTGTGAACAAAAGCTAACTTCTTCAGATGATGAGCACTAATGAAGTGGGCCTTGCCCACAAAAGCTCATCATACTATATATTTTCGTTAATCTGTAAGGTACTGCAAGATGGCTCATTTTTAAAATTACCACCTCTCTGAGACTTGGTTTCAGTTAGACCATCTTGTCTCTTTCAGCCACCAAACGTAGGCTCTGCTTAAGAATGCAACTTCTCTGCAAAGACCTCAAGCTCTATAGGTGGGGTGCTGCTCTCTCTCTCACCGCCCACCCAGAGCTCCCCTACTCAGTGTGATGCAATCTACCCCCTTCCCCAGTCACTCACTTTGGGGGCATCCTCCTCTTTGCATGATGCAATCCCCTATCGCTAACTGGGGGCATGCAACGCCTCAAAGTGATGCAATCCTCCCCTTACCCAGGGACACCTCCTCCCCGCACTCCCGTCCCCATGATGCAATCATTCCCCTTGCTCGGTCAGTCACCTAAAGGCAGGCCCTCACCACACCTCCCCCCGCAGTGTGCTGCAATCATCACTCCCCTTCCCCGCGGGCACACCCCCACCAGACCGCTCCCCTCGGTCTGGTACAACCTCCTCCCTCCCGCCCAACACGCGGCATCCCCTCCCCTCCGGGTGCAACTCGAATCGCTCTCTCGCTCACCCACAGATCCCGCTCGGTGCGGTGCAGTCCCAGCTGCCCCAGCCCCACCGCCAGGTCGTGCACACAAAGCGCGCCGTCCCGGTTCACGTCGAGCTTCTGGAAGAGGGTGTGAAGGCGCCGGTGCTCGGGCCCTCCGCACGCGGACAGGCAGCCCGGGCCCGTCTCAGCGGCCGGGCTGGCGATGGCGGCCCCCTTGGAGCCGCATGGGCACAACACGCCGCTCACCACCGGGGAGGCCAGAGAGCGCCGCGGACCCGGCATCCTCCAGCGGCTCGCGAAACGCCGGCAAATGGCGGAACTCCCCCCTCAGCAAGGAAGTGATTCAACCGGTTTCCGGCTAGCGCGGCGAGGCAAAGCGCCCACGTGACCACTTCGTAGCCCTGCGGAACGGCGTTTTCGTAGGGAGGTGGAGGACAGCACTGCGGACGCAAAGCGTAGGAAGCCAATCAAAGCATGGGCGATTTGATTACGTCACACGCACCCCTTCGATTCCGAATGCAGTAGCTGCCCCCGCCACTGTGGGAGGGTTCCCATTGGTGAAATCGCTGCGGAGGTTAGACGACGCAGGCCCAAAGGCCCAATGGGCTGAGACGATGGCGTCCTGAGTCCGTAGTGAATCTTGACAGACAGGGGATATATCCAATAGCCTGGGAGAAAAGCGCTACGTAGCTATGAGTGACAGAAAAGGCACTATAAGGGGCGGACCCGGAAGGCGGTTACACCCTTTGACAGGCAGCATGCCAGCCAGCGGGCTGGAATGGCGCTGCAGGGAGGCGGTGCTTACGCCAGACGAACAGCACCTTTGGCCAATAGAATTATGGTGCAGGTGGCGGGAGGTGAGACCTATGTCTGATAGGCAAGCGGGGGGCCCAATGGGGCTGAGAAAGGAAAGGGGCTGATTCTGGAAGCCATTACGCCACTGCCGCAGGGCGGAGGCCCTTTAGCGGAGCCTGCTGGGTGGCCGCGGTACGCAATTTGCGTATCTTTCGCTATTCAAGGGGGTCTCACCCCAGGGCCCCTGAGGCCCCTTCGGGGGCCCCCCATTTTTTCTGAGCCTTTTGGTCACCAGACCCTGTTAGCTCTTGGGGCCCCTGGATCCCACCCCTCCTCTACCTCCATTAGGCCTTAAGTCCCTCGTAGGGCCCCTACTTGCCTCCCCACCTCTCTCTGGTTCCCCTCCCCCTTGACCCTTTAAGGCCTCCTGCCCTTCCAGTTCCTCTAGGGTCCTTTTGGCCTTCCCAGCTCTCTACCAGGCCCCCCTCCCTAGCCCCAGTTCCCTCTGAGGTCTCCTGCTCTTGCAGTCCCCCCTGTAGGGCCCTCTGCCTGCCCCAGCATCTGTTAGACCTGACCTCTCCCAAACCCTCCCAGGAGCAGCTCCCCCCAGCCCCGAATCTCCCTCGCCCTGTGACCCCATGGCAATGGCATCGCCCCCGGTGCCCCCAGCGAAGAAACGCAAGATGAACTTCTCGGGGCGGGAGGTAGAGATCATCGTGGAGGAGCTGGAACGGGGCAAGCATCTGCTCATCAACCACTTCAACGCTGGGGTCCCACTGGCTGCCAAGGCCGCTGCCTGGCACGACATCCTACGCCGTGTCAACGCCGTGGCCACCTGTCGCCGTGAGCTGCCAGAGGTCAAGAAGAAGTGGTCAGACCTCAAAACTGAGGTGCGGCGCAAGGTAGCACAGGTCCGTGCCGCTATGGAAGGAGGCGGCATAGGGCAGGATGGAGCTGGCGAGGGCCAGGACAGCGAGGACCCTACTGGTGCTGCAGCCACCCCTGTCATACTCACCCCCATGCAGCAGCGCATCTGTAACCTACTGGGAGAAGCCACCATCATCAGTCTGCCTACTGGGGACTGCACTGCCGGGGATGGTGCTGAGATACCCATCGCAGCCTCCACCACCACTGTCACCCTGACCCAGAGTGAGTGCTGCCCCGATGAAGGTGCTGGATCAGAAAGCTATACAGGGTCCTTAAAGTTCTCCCATGAACAATGAGAAGGGGCCAGTGTACCCATGTGGTGTTCCTCTGTTCCCCAATAGAGCAAGAAAATGAAATCCTGGCACCTTCCACAATATAGTGAAAATGGCACCTATAATAATTTCAGGTGCAATAAGGGGTCGGGGCAGGAAATGCAGGTACTGAAAGCCACCCCTGTTTGACAGCAATGTCAGTCTTAAGAATAAGTGAGCAGCCTTTTGGGGACGTGGCATCTCAGTGCACCTTTGCAATAAACAGCCTCCCTCGGGGGGATAAATGTATGGCTGTATCATAGGATGGTTAGTAGCTGCAGCATAATTGTCTGTGGTTAAAGCTGGTTAAAGCTTGTGAGTGGGGTTGCAAATCATAAAAGGAAACAACAATTAATTAAAAGGTCTTAGTAATGAAAGAAAAAATTTGAACGCTGAACCTTCCAGTCTAGAATAAAAGCTTACAGTACATAGTTCTCTGTTCACGAGTTCAGATATTTTTCTTATGCTTTTTCTCCCATTGGAATGGATGTTCTTTATGTTCTGTCAGTAAATCCAGCATGCAGGATGGAGCAAAATAGCAGACTATAGAGATGTCTGGCTATGTACATCTATTAAGCTATCTTACACAGAGCTTTCTTTTTATGTTTAGATGTTCATAGATACGCTAGTTAAAATAGTAGCACCTAGCTGTTATGGCAGTGATGAATATGAAACTTGTATTGTACTGCAAATGTTGAGATTAATAGGTTTCTGTCTTCTGTGGCCACTCCCAGCTCTTTTTCCATCTCCTTACTTCCTTTTGTGTTATGGAAGATAGAAATATATTTTTCCTTTTGTCTTTAGTAACCTGTTTATGGGCCTGAGAAGATATTCCAGTGGATACTTGAGCAGTCAAGACATTTTATCCAAAGCCATTTCATATCTTATTTGTCCTTTGTGTCCATTTGCTAATGTTGCTTGGAAAGCTACTCTTGAACTAGGGGATGAAAAGTGGTATATGTAGGTATAAACTATAGTATTAGTATTCCTTACTCTCTTTGACCCCAAAATGTACAAGCCTGGGGACATATCCAGATCAGGAAAGATCCATTTCTGTAGGACTAGCTTTCTTCTTTGGTGATCTACATGCACAGTCTTCTCTGTTTTCTTCTTACACAGGCACTAAAGCCCTGACATGTTCATTTGTTAGTGGAGTAGATATTTTGTAGCTATAGGTATTCACTCAAAGAGCAGCAGCCGCTGACATCTCTTTTTATTTGCTTCTAGTTCCTGCAGAGACAACTTACCATAGTCTGGAGGATGGAGTGGTGGAGTACTGCACAACAGAGACTCCCACAACAGTTACTGCTGAAACACCCTTGGAGATGATGGCACATCAGTCTGAGGCATCTGTAAAGCCCCAGGAGCTGAAGAGCCGAATTGCCCTAAATTCAGCCAAACTCCTTCAGGAGCAGCGAGTGACCAACCTGCATGTGAAGGAGATTGCCCAGCACTTGGAACAGCAAAATGACCTGCTGCAGATGATCCGTCGCTCTCAGGAAGTGCAGGCATGTGCCCAAGAGCGTCAGGCGCAGGCTATGGAAGGGACCCAGGCTGCTCTGAGTGCCCTCATCCAGATCTTACGCCCCATGATCAAGGACTTCCGTCGATTTCTGCAAAGTAATACACCTAATCCTTCGGTAACTGCTGAGCCCAGCCATGTGGCCCAGAATGGGCAACAAGATGGTATCATTCAATAAAATAAGGACCAACTGGACACTTCTCTCAAAAGAGCTGTCTTCACTACTATAGAGTTCCAGCCCTCTGAAGTCAAAAGCTGTTGCATCCTTTTCTGTGATGATCCTATGCTATCTGCTTCTTTGGACTCAGCATCCAGGATGGAAGCCAGGATGTGTGATTAAACTTGGAATTTAGTGTTGTTAGATTTTTTCTTTTTTAAAAAAGAAACCTATTTTTTCCACATAGATTTCTAAAAAGACAATTATTTTTATTTATTTCTATCTTAAAAAAGAAATGATACCCTTTCCCCAAACATACAGCTTTTAACTGGCTTTTAACACCAGCCTTATGGCCCTTATCGTGGTTTGTGAAGTTACGATTCATCTTTGAAGGTGCCCAGATACTTTGTTCTAGTACAGAGAAGCTAATGCAGTCCTGTCTCTTGCTGGACACTTGTAGAGTAATAATATGGCACCTGAGGTGGTATAGGAAGTTTGTGGCGGCCTGTGTGTTGGAAGATTGTGGTTGCTGCTCTTTAAGTGTGTAAGTCACCCCTGTATAAAGGATTAGCACAAGGCCTGTCCACAACCTAAATCCCACAGAAGTTCTACTTTAGCTCTAAAAATAGAGTTTGTGGTGCATAGACATCATATTGGCCTTCTGCACAGTGCTGAATTTCATCCAAAGCTAGCAGAGGTGTTTGTGCATGTGTATTAAATGTCTCAAAAGAAGTACCTAAGGGAATAAGTATGAATTTCATTTAGGTAGATTTGCATACAGAGGAAATGCCATACCAGTGGAATAGGTACTGCAGTATAGTTTGAACCCTGTACAGTACATTGTCTCAAAGTGGGGAAAATATAGAATTTTCAGCAAAGCCATAACTAAAAGTCATGGCTTGTGTGAGTTTGTCAACTACATGTTATTTTAATGGGATTGGGAGGAGGTTTGTTTTTTGTTTACGGTTTGTAATTTTTTTTAAGGCGTTAACAAAATTTGTTACCATTGACTTCAACAGGCTAAGGACTATGGGATTTGCCCCAAATCTTTCTTAAGATTATATTGGGGGGAGAGGAGGGGCGACTGATCCTTCGCACTTACTTTTAGAGCTGTTCTGGCTTTTGGGGCTCGAGCCTAAAAGAACACTTAGTTTCATAGCAAGTTGACTTGATGGTGTGTGTGTGGTTGGTATAGATGTGTACCAATATCATAAACAAAACAAAATATTTCAGATGAAAAGCTTCACCTCTACCTGTGTAGAAGCTGACTAATTTGTCTAAAAACTACTTTTGTTAATGCCTTTCTCTTGTCCCACGGACCCACCTGCAAAACCAATTTAATCAAAATTATGGATTAATACTGGCCAAATATTACTGTCAAGATGGAACTTTTTTATGCTGAGCTAAGTTTGCTGTTGAACTCTCTGGAGGGCTGAGAAGCAATGAACTGATGCAATTAATTTTTGCAATTAAATTACAAACCTCTGAATATATCTTTCTACAATGAAAACAGTGATGGGGAACTTAACTAAACCAGTACATGGGATATTGCTACATTTTATAACCTTCATTGTAGTGGTAACGCACTCTCTTTAGGAAGGAGGAGGATAAGATAATGAATAGTGGAATTCAAAGACTTTGGTCAATGGAAGATCCTTGTCCCATCCATTCAGTCGTCCACTCTGAGTCAGGACAACACCATCACTGACTTTCCCACCTTGTCCATCATCTAATCACATCAAGACAATTTTCTTGACTTGTTTCTCTCAAAACCTGTGGAATCAAATCAATGACTCAGTTGTGGTTTATTTTTAAAACAGACGCTGCATCATACCTGTTTGGTTTTACCTCACTTGTGAATAAGAATACCAGTATGAATTTTTAATAAAAAAATTTTTTGGTAAATTGCCTCTCAGTATATCAGTATTATCATTGGGGAAAAAAATGACACAAGGCTAAGAGACTCAAGAGTCAGGAAATATCAAAGTTAAGGTTACATAGTCTTTTCTGCAAACTTAACTCTGTCCCCTTGTTCACATGCTTCATTACATGACATTTAGTTTCATGATTACATTCTGTTTCTCAATAATATTAATACTTTCTGCAATTTTATCTTGAAGCAGTGATTTCTATTTTGTCATCTGTCACTTTTGGGATTTCTAGTTTCTCAGTGGTATATAGCACATATTTCTAGGGTTGGAAGTTCAGGAGATGAACCAGAGATCTCTTCAAGGGCTATCTGAGGCCATTTACCAGAGTGGCCAGGTTGCTTTGTGCATGCTATCCTTGGAGCAAATATGGCGTTTTAAAGGTGTTCAGGTGGCTGGTGATGTACAGAATTCATTTCAGTTCTCTCCTGCAGATGGCACCATAAAGCAAAATAGAGCAATTGTTCCACTTAGGACAAAATACAGGACTATGTAGCACTTTAAAGACTAACAAGATGGTTTATTAGATGATGAGCTTTCGTGGGACAGACCCACTTCCTCAGATCAAATAGTGGAAGAAAATAGTCACAACCAATATACCAAAGGATACAATTTAAAAAAATGAACACATATGAAAAGGACAAATCACATTTCAGAACAGAAGGGGGATGCGGGGGGGGGGGAAGGAAGTTGAATGCCTGTGAGTTAATGATATTAGAGGTGGGGAAAGGTAGATGTCTGTGAGCTAATGGTATTAGAGGTGATAATTGGGGAAGCTATCTTTGTAATGGGTAAGGTAGTTGGGGTCTTTGTTCAGCCCCCTGCGGAGAGTGTCGAATTTTAGCATGAATGCCAGTTCAGAGGATTCCCTTTCAAGTGCAGATTTGAAAGTCTTCTGAAGTAGGATGCATGTGATTAGGTCACTGAGACAGTGTCCTTTCTGGATGAAATGGCAAGAAACTGTTATTTCTTTGTGATCCTGTCTAATGTCTGTTTTGTGGGCATTGATTCTTTGGCGAAGTGTCTGAGACGTTTGTCCAATGTACATAGCAGACGGACACTTTCGGCACATGATAGCATAGATTATATTTCTGGATGCGCGGGAATATGTATTCTTGATCTTATAACTCACTTGGTTAGGCCCAGTAGTGGTGCCAGCAGAGTGAATATGTGGACAAAGCTGGCAACGGGGTTTGTTGCAAGGGAAAGTACCAGGGTTGGTATTAGTGTGGTATGTCCTGTGGTTGTTGGTAAGAATCATATTGAGGTTAGCTGGTTGTCTATAGGAGACTATGGGTCTGTCTCCCAGAGCTTCTTGGAGTTTAGTGTCCTGTTCCAGTATAGGCTGTAATATAATTGTCTTAATCAGCTAGTTTTTAGTCTTTCATTATGTCTGAGTTCTTTTACTGCTTGTCAGTGGAATCTTTACATATATCCTTGCAACTTCCATTTTATTTGCAACTAGTTAAAGAGCAGGTAAAGAAGTCAACTGATGTCAGATACCTCGGTATAAATTCTGTTTTTTGCAGAGAGTATGATGATTTAGCCCAAACAGTGTGTTTTCATTTAATCCAATTAGATTGTAAACTCACTTTTCATCTGGGTCATAAGTTCTAGATAATTCTCTTAGAATATGAGTAATATGAGAATAACCTTTTAAATTTCATGAATAAGCAGACATCGAAACCAAGCATATACTACTGATATACTATGAATAATAATTAATTTTATAGTTTAATAAAAAGAAAGCATATTATCATATTTTAATAACATGTATTCAAGTTTTCTTTATACTTACAGATTCCATGGGAGTTTGTGAGGTACAGACCAATATCACAATTTTGAGAGAACCTGTAAAAATTGAATTCAGAGAAGAAAGTCTGAATTATATGGAGAAACTGTGGCTTAAAAAACATAGAAGGTAGTCACTGAATCCTATACTGCTAATAAAAAACATCCCTAAATAGTTAAATTTGCAATATGAGCCATCTAAAGCAATTTTATATTTGAGAACATATTAAACATTAGAAAGTTAAAGGAAATTACTGTCTCATTTGCTTTCCCGTAAAGTAATTTACTAATTATGTATGTATGTTGATGAATAATTTTTTTGGAATTATTTGATCTGAGGAAGTGGGTCTGGCCCACAAAAGCTCATCATCTAATAAACCATCTTGTTAGTCTTTAAAGTGCTACATAGTCCTGTATTTTGTTTCAGCTACACCAGACTAACATGGCTACATTTCTGTCACTTAGGACAAGATATAGACAGACATTCCACTTAGATCTTAGTTCAGCCAGCCCCAATCTATCTAAGATTTATATTTAAAACCCTAAAGCAGAAAAGCTCTGCAAATACAGAGACATACCAGATTGATCTAAAAAGTCTCCCCAGTCTCTACCTTCTATGATACAATTTGCTTCTCACAATTCTCTCGAGGCTGACAAGATGGAATGAAACTCAGTATAATGCAGGGGGAAAGACCCCTGTATCCACACACAGGCAGGTTGGCTGAGAAGGCTAAATAGCATATACTTGCATAAAAAATGGATAAAGAACATGGAACTCTATTTTGTGATGTGCTAAGTAATTAACAAGTTAATTCAAGTCAGTGACACACCTATAGGCACTCGCATGGCCCCACAGTATGCCAGCCTCTTTATAGCTGACCTTGAACAACTTTTCCTCAGCTCTCGCCCCCCTAGCACCTTTCATCTACTTAAGCTACATTGATAACATCTTCATCATATGGACCCATGGGAAGAAGACCCTTGAAGACTTTCACAGCAATTTCAATAACATCTACCCCACCATCAACCTTAGCCTGGACCAGTCCACACAAGTGATTCCTTTTCTTGACACTAAGGTACAATTACACAATGGACATATTTCCACCATCTTAAGCCAGAAACCTGCTGACTGTTACTTATCTACATGCCTCCAGTTTCCATCCAAGACACATTTCCCAATCAATTGTTTATAGCCAGGCCCTAAGATACAACTGGGTTTGCTCCAATCCCACAGACAGAGACAAACACCTATGTCTACACTGGTTGGTTGTTGCGCCAGAAGTATGCAAATGAGGCTAAGCATGTTATCGCCAAGCCTCGTTTGCATACCTAATGAGCCACCATTTTTGCGGAAGAGGCTCTTGCGCTAGAAGGAGCTGTCTACACTGCCCCTTCTTGTGCAGGAAAAACCCTCTTGTGCAATCCCACTACGCTGATTATTTTCAGGAATAATGGCATTGCGCAAGAGGGTTTTTCTTGCGCAAGAAGTGGCAGTGTAGATGCTCCTTCTGGCACAAGAGCCTCTTCTGCAGAAATGGCGGCTCATTAAGTATGCAAATGAGGCTCTGCTTCTGGGCAAAAGGGGTTCTTCTGCAGAAATGGCGGCTCATTAAGTATGCAAATGAGGCTCTGTGTTATTCCATGCTTAGCCTCATTTGCATACTTCTGGCACAACAACCTGCCAGGGTAGACATAGCCCTAGCGGATTTATATAAAGCATTCTTAAAACTGAAATACCCACCTGGAGAAGTGAAAAAACAGATTGACAGAGCCAGAGGAGTACCAAGACATCAGCTACTTCAAAATAGGCCCTACAAAGAAAATAAAAGGACACCTATGGCCTCCAACTTAAACCCCTCCAACGCATTATCTACAACCTATCCTGGAAAATGACCCCTCACTCTCACAGGCCCTAGGGGGCAGACCAATCCTCTCTTACAGACAACTCCCTAACCTCAAACAAATCCTTTCCAATAGCCACAAAGCACACGTCCATCATACTCATCCAGGAACCCACCCCTGCAATAAACTCTGGTGCCAATTCTGTCCACACATCTACACATGCGACATCATTACATGACCTAACCACATAAACCACTACATCAGAGGCTTGTACAGCTGCAGAGCCACTAATGTGATCTATGCTATCAAGTGTCACCTATGCCCCTCTGCCATGTATATTGGCCAAACTGGACAGTCTCTATGAAAAAGAATTAATGGACACAATCAAATCAGATATCTGAAAAGGCAACTCACAGAAACCTGTTGGGGAACGTTTTAACTTGCCTGGGCACTAATTAATGGATCTCATATTATTTCAAACCAATTTCAAAAGCCAGCTCCACAGGGAAGGCACAGAACTTAATTTCATTTACAAGTTTGATTCCTACAACAGAAGTCTAAAGAGCTAGGCTGGATGGCCCGCTACATTCCACATCCTAATGACATAAAAAACCAACCAAAGATGAAACAAAAACAAAAAACCAACCAATTTAGAGGGTACTAAATATTCTTATCAGCTTCATTTAACATGGACACTCTGACAGTTTCTTTCCTTCTTTTTCCTGTCCTTCCTCCCTCCCCTCCATTCCTTCTGTGCTATTTATTTGAAAACTGGACCCCTGGAGACGTGGGTTGTGCCCACAAAAGCTCATGATACCATCTACATTTTTGTTAGTCTTTAAGGTGTGCTACACTACTCCTTGTTGTTTGTTTTTCCAGTTACAGACTAACACAGCTACTCCTATGAAACTAAGTAATTAACAGTATTTCTAGTAACAAGTTTACTACAGAATAAAAAGGACAGACAAAATATAAATACATTTATAAGCAAAGTGATGGAAATCAAAGTTTTTGATAAACAGCACATAATATGCAGGTGATAATAAATTGCTCAAGATAGTTAAGAATAAAGCAGACTGTGAAGAGCTTCAGAACCAACTCACAAACCTAGGTGATTGGTCAGCAAAATTGCAAATTAATTTTAATGTTGATAAATGCAAAGTAATGCACATTGGAAAAAAAATAACCCCAATTATACATGCAAAATGGTGGAGACTAATTTAGATATAACTACTCAAGAGAGAGATCTTGAAGTCATTGTGGATAGTTCTCTGAAACCATCCACTCAATGTGCAGCATCGGTCA